CATTAAACTTGCTGCTATTGCATGTAAGAGATGTTGTTTCTTTCACGATGTATACTTTTAAATATACAAATTAAATACAGAAATAATGTTTACCTATCAGAAAAAAAAAAAAAATAATAATAATATATAATTATAAAAACAATTTATTGATTTTAATCTTATTAAAAAACTTAAGATTTTAATTTTATTAAATAAGCAAATAATTTTTATTTTTATAAATTATATTATTAATAAATATATAAATTGAATAGATATATAAACATATAAATATAATATTTGTATTGATTTAATATTATTTAATAAACAAGTAATTTTAAGTTAAACATAAGTTAAATAAATAAATTATAAAGTTTTTGAACTAATATTTTTTTATTAATTTTAATAATAGTTTTTTTGTTTTAATATTACATTAATATTAAATTATTTAGAAATCCAGTTAAAATTATTTATTTATTTTTATTATTTTAAATAAATATATTATTAATTTTGTTATTGAATTATAAAATATTTATTTAAAATTTCATATAAATTAAATAATTATTTATTGAAAAATATTAGTTCAAAAACTTTATAACAGGCTGTATATATTATGGTTAATATTTTCTTTATAATAAGTTCATTTTACATTTTACTTTCGGGAACCTGATTATTTGAGGTTAAAGCTATTGAAATTATGAATAATAGTTATTTTTTTCAATGAAATCTTAAGTATTGCCTATTATGGATGTGTTACAATCCATCCATAATAGTTTGCGAGTAGCGTTTCACCAGCTTGACTAATAAAATTGGGCAAATCAAAATTCATTTTAACAAAGTAACACTGAAGGCTTGTTCTCAAGTACTTTATAGAGGCAGCCGGTCTTTCACTGCATCAGCTTTTAGTCTATAATTGTCCTTAGCAAAAACGACCAACGTTCTAGTATTTAACGTATAATAATGGCAACCTCAACCGATTTCGCTGACGTGGATGGTTGGATTCAGCATCTCATGCTGTGCAAACAGCTGCCAGAGGCTGACGTTAAGAGATTGTGCGATAAGGTAATTGAACATGAAAAGCAAATAACTGCCAGTATTTAATTTTTCTCTTGCATCTTGGCTAGCTTTTTTAAACATTCATTAGAATTACACCTTAAATTATTTTTGGTGTTAATTCAGAGAATAATGTTTTGAATACCCGGTTGTTTAAGAAATGCGCATAATTTACTTTTTAATTAAATCTATTTTTTCCTTTTAACTATGTTTATAATAATCGCGTAGGCTCGAGAAATTCTTATGGAGGAGTCTAATGTACAACCCGTTAGATGCCCAGTAACAGTTTGTGGTGACATCCATGGTCAATTCCATGATCTGATGGAACTTTTTCGTATTGGCGGAAATTCACCAGACACAAATTATTTATTTATGGGGGATTATGTTGACCGTGGTTATTATTCTGTTGAAACTGTCACTCTACTTGTTGCCTTTAAAGTCCGATATAGAGATCGTGTCACAATCCTTCGGGGGAACCATGAATCTAGGCAAATAACTCAAGTCTACGGGTTTTATGATGAATGCCTAAGGAAGTACGGTAACGCAAATGTTTGGAAGTTTTTCACCGACCTGTTTGACTACCTACCTTTAACGGCATTGATTGATGAACAGGTTAGTATAACTAAGTTTATACACGTTTCCGTATAATAACCATTTAAATGTTTGACGTTATACATCTAGATTTTCTGTCTTCATGGAGGTCTGTCTCCATCAATTGACACGTTAGACCATATCCGAGCTTTGGACAGGATTCAGGAAGTCCCCCATGAAGGTCCAATGTGCGATTTATTATGGTCGGACCCAGATGATCGATGTGGCTGGGGAATCTCACCCAGAGGTGCTGGCTATACCTTTGGGCAAGACATATCGGAAGCATTTAATCACAATAATGGACTAACGTTGATTGCTAGAGCTCATCAATTAGTTATGGAGGTACGCATACACGTTGATTCTTAACTGAGTCGTGATCTCCTTTTGAAACGTATATATTTTTATATTCCAGGGATACAATTGGTCGCAAGATAGAAATGTCGTAACAATTTTCAGCGCTCCAAATTATTGTTATCGTTGTGGCAATCAGGCTGCTATCATGGAAATAGATGAACATTTGAAGTATACATTGTAAGTGAAACAGATTATGTTATCAATTATAATGATATTGATGAATTTAAACTTAATTTCCCTTTATTTTATAGCCTACAATTTGATCCTGCCCCCAGAAGGGGTGAGCCACATGTAACTCGCAGAACTCCTGATTATTTCTTGTAAACTTATCTCGAAAATATTGGCTTGCGTTTTAAAGAATCATTCCTAATATCGTTGATCGATGATTGTTTAACTTTGTATGTCAATGAAAAACGTTGGGCATGATGTCAATTTCACTTCAATTTTTCCGCACGCATTGTAGAGTCCTGGTATATGTCACACGTATATGCTAGGTCATTCAGAAACTTTTTTTTTTTGTTTTGTATAAATTTACTTTTTATTGGACAATTTTAAAATCCTCAATTTACAAGACTGTCACGACTGGTTTATATTTATATCTCAAATGATAATTTTTTCTACTAATTAATGATTGTCCTCAATTAAAATCTGCTATTATAAGGGGTACAGCGGAATAATCGTTTTTTGAAAGCTACTTAGATTCTTTCGATTTTATTTTAATAAAAAAAATTGTAATAAATAGTTATGTTAGATGATAGTGAATGTTTCAGGTTTCACAAGCAAAATATTGACTCTGTAAAAATTTTATAATATTCTACTTTAAGAGATAAAAAACCTATACATTTTAGTATTTGGGAGGATTCACGAGATGTTGCAGAAATTATGTGATATACTTTATTTTATTACTTAAGCAAATAATCTATCAATGTGATAAATTACAAAGATTGATTCAACTTCTAAATAAACATGACTTATATTCTAACGATATAAATTTTATGAATATTGTTATATGAACAGTTATTTTTAATAATTTGTTAATTAAATTAAGATAAAATTTATAATTTAATTTTTTAATTACAGTAATGGTCACTGTATATTTAATTTAAAAAGAAAAATCTTTTATATTTTGTATTGAATTACAAAATTTATTTATATACTTGAATATATAATAATCTCTAGATATAATTTTGAAGATAGAAAAAAATCAAAATTCTTTTTTTATAAATATAGTTTACAATTTATTTTTATAATTTTATATAAAAAAAAACTTTTTTAAAAAAAATCAAGTTAATATTATATGTTTATTAAATTATATATAAAAATATTACATAATCCAACCTTATTGACAATACAAGATTTTTAAATATAATTTATATATTAAATAGAATAAGATTATTCTTTTTTATAGAAATTATAAAAAGAGAAAATAAGAAAAAAAAACATAAATATATTAAGAAAAAAAAAATAAACTAAAAAAAAAATTTTTCTATTTTATCTATTATTGAAAAGATTATTTTATAATTTAAATAAAATTCAAAGTTCTTATAATTCAATATATTTATTTCTTGTCTATAACCAAACAAAGTTTTATAAATAAAAATATTAAATATATTTGTTTTTTAATAAAAATAATTGAAAAAATATAAATAAATTTTGTTAATAAAGTATTGTAGAATTTATCAGATTAAATTTTATATGACGATATTTTTTTTGTGCAAAAAATTTTTTATATATCGAAAGGATGTGGGGCTTTCATTATTTCCGTGTTACCATTTCCTTCATGTCACGTTATAGATTATTTATAAAGAAGCCTGAACCCGCAGCAGAAACAAATAAAATTGATAGTTTCTAGATTCCAATATCGAGGCTTTGTTTTAAATCCATCCAGTCAATTAATTCTCTACATAGAAAATGAAGATATATTCTCTTACAGTCTTTTCTAAGGATGATAAAAGTGCAGTGAATTTAGTGGGAGAGTATGATCTCTCTAATTTCGGTTTTTTTCAACGAAGCAGGTTAGCAGTTTTGGAAAATGAAGGGTTCTACTGAACATTTTCGGAAAAAAAAAAATTAATATTTTTTTCTTGTTAGTGTTCAAGAGTTTATGACTTTTTTCGCAAAAACTGTGGCCGAAAGGACAAAACCGGGCCAGCGACAAGTTATTGAAGAGAATAGTATGCGCAAAATTCAAATTTATTTATTTTTATTTAAAAGTTAACTAGTTTTATATCTAGCTGATTAATTTTGTGTCTTTTCCATCACCATAATCATCTCAGATTATGTATTCTACTCTTATGTAAGGGCTGAAGGTCTCGCAGGAATTATTATTGGTGACAATGAATATCCACAACGTGTGGCATTTTCTTTGTTGAATAAAATTCTCGACGAATTCCTTATAAAGTTTCCAAAAGATACCTGGAAACCCCAGACTATTGTCTATCCAGAACTTAAAACCTACCTGGTAAAATATCAAGATCCAAAGCAAGCAGATCAAATTACCAAAGTTCAAGAACAATTGGATGAAACTAAACTTGTCATGGTAACAATTTAAATTAAATACTAGAACAAAAAAGACGTCATTTCGACAAGGCTAACAGAATTATTTTATATAACATAATTTTTTAGAATAAAACTATAGAGACTCTTTTGCAACGTGGCGAAAAATTGGATGATCTAATTGATAGATCACAGGAGATTTCTTTTCAATCAAAAGCGTTTTATAAACAAGCGAAAAAGGTTTGTGTTGAACTTGGGATTCTGTGTTCTTATGCTTATCAACGACTTTTAACACTTTCTTACTGTAATTTTTACAGACTAATAGTTGTTGTACTATTTCGTAATTAGAATTACTTTAAATTGGATTTCATGGTATAGAGATCGTACACATTATTTATTAGTCAAATTTTAGGTTGTAATAGAACGTCTCATTATTGTATGATACAACCCAGAACTAATTAGTCACGACATCCAAGTTTTCTTTGTAATAACAGCAATCTTTGAAAATACATTCTTTCGAAAGTAGATATTCATATTAATTCCCAATAGTATAATAAAATATAATAATGATAGTATTAATTTATTGATAAAGATGATAATGTAATAAAAAAAAAGAGTGAGGTTTACATATGGCATCCTATCCAAAATTTTTCAATAATTTACAAAACCCCCAATGGGTCGTCAATGGGAACGGCTGGTGTAACAGAATGGTGACTACTAACTCTTATATTATTACTTATAGTCGATGAAATTGTTTCAAAATTTTCATTTCTATCTTTTTCTTCATCATTATCTTGTGGAGAGGATAATTCACTTAGAGGATCAAAAGTAGAAGGTGTTGTAACTGCAGTTGAACTTCGTGAGCGTCTTTGTGTTGATGGAGCTGATAATATTTTCTTATAATAATCGTCTTCATTCGCATATTCTGAGCCAGGACCAGATGCATAACTAGAAAAACTGTTAATGCTGCTGACACTAGCCCGTTTAGGGTTAAAGAGTGAATTTTCGTTGTCATCCGTGAGACCTTCAACCATCCAGCTGTATTTCGCATTGGATGAGATAGATGATTTCGATCCTTCAGTATCGTCATTTTCTATTTCATCCAAGATATCCTCTAGTTTTAATTTGGACCTTGTGAATGGTTTTGTGGCTTTTGGCGCAGGCGTTATTACTCTTGATGTTTTTGGTGTCGGAGATGATCTTTCATTAGCAAAAGCTCGAGATTCTAAATCAAATATGCTTGTGGAGCTGATATTATTGTCTGACGATGGATGCAATTTTTGAGGTGACTTCGGCAACGATGACAATGATGGCGGTGAACCTTCAACAGAAGACTGGGCTGGAATCGATGGAAGGGTTGTCGGACTCGAACGAGGAATCGAAACTGGTTTGGCAGAAACAGGCTCTGTAATTGGTTTTTTGGGAATATCAGGTACATTATTTTCCTGTTTCGGTTTAGCATCTCTGCAGACAGAGGCATTTTCATATTCCGTTCCAGACATACTAAGAACTTCCCAATATTCATGATCCTCATGGATATTACCTGACGGCGAGTCTAGGATGTGAGGATTTAATTCTCTTGATCCATTTAGTACATCTCTAATGTGTTTGAGTCCCTGCAACACATGAGAAATATCGTTGGAAGGTGTGATAACGCTTGATTCTTCATGGTTATTGCCTGCAATATACTCAAATGACGATCGAGATGTCGATCCTTCGGAACTTTTTTCGATTTTATCGGCATCTTCCTTCGATTTCGATTCAAGAATGTCAATGACTTTTTGTACAACAGTATTCATCTGACGATTTTGCTCCCGTAGCTTTGTTATTTCTTCCAAATAATATTTTTGTTGACTAAACTGATCTGATTGATTTGAATGAATGATTTTATTTTGTTGAGGCGAACCATCCGAATGTAATGGATCATGTGATATATCTTGATATCTTGGTGAGAAATCCGACAAATTTCGTCGTTTTCGCTCATACGCTGATATGGCTTTATTAATCATCGCAGCACCACGACTCTCCAAAACATTTTTAGTCACACTGACCAAATCTTCAATTCTCGCGGGTTCACGTTTAATTGAGATTGGAAGTGTTATAATGGGTTTTCCTAATCTAATTGCATTTTGCTGTATAATATGCTCACCACCTTCCTGAGATAAATGGTCCCTAAGATATATCGCCTGTGGTATAAGTACCTCAACATCATTTATAGTAGGGAATCGCATCAACATGCTTAAACATCCAGCATAATCAGAATCAAGCACTGTTAGTCAAATGTAGAGTTAATAATTGTAAAGTTCTCTGGATGAAAGGCAATTTGATCGGACACTTACATTCATCACGAATCAAAAGCATCATTGCTACACATACGAAATCCACAATTCTCAAAGTTGGATCTTCTGCGAAAATTCCATCCCATAGTATTAGGACTTTATCTAGGTTAAATTCACGTCCGAAAAGAAGTCTTATCCAACGTCTGTTAATCGATGGAAAGAGAAAATATTCGTATCAACGTAATTCCGTATAACTTCTACTGATGTTAATGCCACATCACTAGGTGTAAAATGTTCCAAGGCATCAAGATACATAATACATACATTCCATATAGTTGAGGTTCAATTTCTAAATCTTTCAAATGCATATGTAATTCGGGATCGATCGTTTTTAGATATTCTTCGTGAATCTTACTGCATCTCATGACCACCGGCGTTAACTTGGCTGCCTATATAAGTTTTATGAATACTAGGCAAAATCTTTGAAAGGAGCCAAGACAAATTCACATATACAGTACCTCTGCTTGGGCTTCTTTGATAATCCTAGAATTGTCTTGTTCAGTGCTTTGCGGACGCTAATAGAATTTTAATCAAAAAAATTTACAATCACACTTCATTAGGAATAACTGATAGACGAGGCGACATTCACCATATCAAATCTAACATGCCTTATAAAGTCTACGATTAAACACCTCGTCGTTATATTCGTAATTAACTTTTGCCGATTTCATTAGTGCAGAAAACAGTGCGAAAGTATCATGCTCCACAAAACTAGCATTTAACGTTTGTTTAATTATTGCGTCTTCATCGTTTTCTACAGCGTACCCGTTTGCGCTAGATAAGCTTTCTTTATCAACCACCCACAGTATTGGAGCTAATAATTCATGCATTCCCTGACGGTATGATACATCCGTATTCATCTTACAATATATAAAAAGAATATCTAGTAGTCGACTCTGAATCTCTGGATCACGGAAATACTCATTATCCGGAAACCTGTCAAATAAAACAAATGAATATACATACATTGAAGTCATTAGATTTTTCATGGGCATAGAATCAAACACCTACGTTCGTTCCACATCTTGCCGAATAATCTTTCGCAATTCTGTATCCTTAAAATATTCTTGCCAAGGATTCTACGAATTGCAATAATCAATTAATTATTTTGGACTACGATGTATAGTCAAATTCCATACGTACGGCTTGATCCAATGATAACGGATTATTGACACTCAAATCATTAACAGAACCATCATTTTCAGATTCGGAAGTTGGACTGGTAATGTACTTTTGACGAAGATCTGCATAGTGCTGACGTTCTTTATGAAGAGTCAATGTCCAAGTTGTGATATCTAAACTCGGCAAAAACGCCAGATAGATCTGTTTATAGGGTAGATAAGAACTCAGAGAAACCTTTGATCTTTTGTGAAACATTTAAATAAAAATTTTCATCACCTACCTTCCAACAGACCGATCTTAAACCGACTGAACAAATGTTACCTCTGACACCCTTCTCTCGTAAGGAAGTTAAAGAAAGCAGAGGATCTTTAAAGATAACATCCCATTTTGATCTAATAATGCGTCAGCAATTTCATTATTTTTAGAGAAAAAAAAAATAAGAAAACAAGTGATTTGATGCCATTTTCGCATGCATACTTTATTTCTTCAAAAGAGTGACCTTCCATATTTTAGAATATGCAAAAAATTTAATTCCTAGTGGTTTTCCATTAAAGTTGTAAATAAAACTGTACTACTACATACGTCATCCCATGTGCGTTACGCAGTCTAGTTTAATAGATGATCTTGAAAATAATCACAATTTCCTAATTTCCTAATGAGTAAATTTTTGATTATCTTGAAAAAAGTTAATGCAGTAGTAGATCGAATGAATTCTTATATTAACCCCCTCAGTTCAATGCACTCCTTAAAAAAAAAAATTTGAAAACACTTTTTTTTTCCTCTGCAAGTCATGTCCTCTACCACAGTTCCCGCAAAACCAGAAAAATCACTTCCGTTTTTATATCATTTTGCCGCCGGTGGTATCGCCGGAGTTAGCGAAATTCTTATAATGTACCCTCTTGACGTGGTAAAGACAAGATTTCAGCTACAGGTTGATGGCACACCTATAAGTGAAAGATATACCTCGGTAATGGATTGTTTTCGGAAGATTGTCAAGAATGAAGGATTTGGTCGACTTTATAGAGGCATTCTTCCTCCCATCCTTGTGGAGGCACCAAAAAGAGCCATCAAGTTCTCGGCAAATGAAAAATATTCTAATTTTTTAAAAAATGTATACGGTACCAATGAAATGAATCAGGCAATGTCCATCCAATCAGGTGTCGGTGCAGGAGTCACTGAAGCCTTTATTATAGTTCCTTTTGAACTTGTCAAGATTCGTCTCCAGGATAAAGGAAATGCCGGAAAATATAATGGTACCTTTGATGCTTTGATCAAAATCGTTGGGAATGAGGGTATATTCGCACTATTTAATGGACTGGAAGCGACATTGTGGAGGCACGCTACTTGGAATGGTGGATATTTTGGTGTGGTTTTCGGTGTGAGAAAACGTCTTCCCAAAGCGGAAAACAAACAACAACAATTGAGAAACAATTTTATTGCGGGATCCATTGGTGGCACCGTGGGAACTATCTTAAATACTCCATTCGACGTTGTCAAAACTCGAATTCAGAATGATTCAGGACCCGTAAGAAAGTACAATTGGACCCTTCCTGCTGTGAAAACGGTTATCCAAGAGGAAGGACCCAGGGCTCTTTACAAGGGATTCGTTCCTAAACTTCTCAGGCTTGGTCCAGGAGGTGGTATTCTCTTGGTAGTATTCGACCAGGTCACAACCTTGATGAAAAAATATTTTCTATAGTGAATTCAATAGTCAATATCTTTCTTTTCAAAAATAGCATACTTGGATTACATAATTTTTTATTTTTCACAAATAATTATTGTTCTTTATTAAATATACAGTAATTAACTTAATTAATTGAATGTTGGTTAACTTCTTTCATAGAGATAAAATAGTTTAAATATTAAACTACCAACTTTTTATAATTATAATTATTACTGATTCATCCTAAGAAAAACAGATTCAAAATAAATTCACTAACTAAACTAGATCTACAATATGTGGATTTTAAAATATAGAAATTACAATAAATCAAAAAAAAAAAAAAAGAAATTTTCTATTCATTTGTTCACTTGAATTGTCTTTAATTTATTACACTTTTGGTTCATCCTCTACGGGTGTAGGACCATCATCTACTGTTTCATGGAAACATGAATTAGTGTATTGTACTGTCCAATAAAGTTGAATAATAAATAATAAAATACCTCTTCTTCTAAAAATAGTGATTTCCTGTTGTTTAAAATATCTCCGGTTTTCCTCATCAACAAGTACTAGATTGAGGTAATAACGCGTGGAAAATTTTTTGTTTACCTCACGGAAAGTGGGTGTCAACTCGAACCCCCCAAGGAACAGACGAATGGGAATTGTCTCGCCTAATCAGGGTAGAATCAATGATCATTAAAAAAAAAAAATAAGGTTCCGCTTCGCACCGAAGAATCGTATGTATGAACCTAGGCTTACCACGTACTGGTGCACCATCCATAATCTCAAATTTGGTGATCGTCTCGCTCTCATTATATTGATTTGGAGCTATGTGAGATTCGTGCCATTTGAGTTTAATACATTAAAAAATGTGGAATCGCGATCTCAATAATAACACATCTAAAGATAATACCAGCCCCTGTCGTTTCCCTACGAATAATCGATAATTCCATGTGCTTGATCTTTATTCGAACCAGAAGAAAGTAAATTTTTCCTACAATCACATCTTTAAGATGATATCTAATGTTTTGACATCATTAGGAACGACTAATAATGAACCGCTTGAATCGATATTATTGTAATAACTTCAAATAATTTGAATACCTTGATTTGTTGTACTCAAATTCAATGTGCAAACAATCTTCGATTCCGACCTCCATCTTGATAGAGCTATTGCTCTCCGGTGGCATTCGATACGAATACACCCATATGTCTTTCTCATTCACAATATCTGTTATCCGTTTCGAAACTGTCACACGAACGAAATATCTTGTGAAATTGACCAATTATTTGAGCGTATTAAAAAAAAAATAATAATAAAATTAATAATTAACATATTGTCAAGGAATCTAATTTAAACTTCGCCATTGGATGATAAATCTTCCCTGAAAATCATTTTATACCTCAATTTTACATTTATCCCGTGATAGCTTTCGTACGGCTTTTCAACATTTTTAAATTCAAAGTCAAAAGATTGTGGCTGGCGCATCTCCCCAGGTACAGCCAATTCTTGAACCAATGCCGTAAATTCGTAGTGATTACCGCGATCATAGAACAACTCTGTTTTCGTTAAAAAGCGTTGTAACGTTTAATGTTGTTACAATCCAAGCAGCAAATCGCTATTCCTTTTCTAAATAATTTACCGATGTTTCCCACAAATTCTATCTTGATGCCTTGGTGTTCAAGTCTTTTACCGTCTCGAGGTCTAATGGTAACCTAACAGGAATTCTTCTATTTCAATGCATGTTTTTTTCGTATTCCCTCAAAATCTCAAAATAACAAGATAAACTAGGAGGTTTATTAACACATACCCTACCGGAAACAGTTTCACCATCATAGTATAACGGGAATTTCTCTCGACGGTCTTTATCTAATTTTACCTCCACTAATTTTCTATTCTCTTCTCCGGCAAATCGTACATCAATGTCAACAGGTGAGCTAAAATTAAAAAGACCCTATATGGGAACGAACAAATGCATTCGAAATTTATCTCAAGGAAAAATAATACTCGATAGAAAAAGATGACTGACCGCCATAGTGTGAAAATGATGGTATAAAAACCGGAACTCAAAAGTTACCTGTAGCTTTTTTATGTACGTAAAAGGATCAGCTCGTGATTGGCTAATCGTTTACGATTTACAATAGAAGTTACATACAGTAAACAATCTCACCATTAGCTAATTACAGTATAATAAATAATGAAAAATTGTATGATCGATGTTCATGCTCATTTCTACCCTTCTTCGTTTTCCGATAAGCAAATTGATCAAATTCTTGTTCGTGCTCAAACCGCGAATGTCTCTTCTATAGTTTCAGTCCCCGAAACATTGGAAGACGCACAATGCATACTTGCTTTGAAGAATGATCCATCGATACCTGACGCGCTCAGGTATATGATTGAACCATGCGCAGGTTTGCACCCTGCTTATGAGGCAAAGAGTCTAGTTAAGGTAGAACAAGTGGATAGTGTTCTCGAATTCATTAAAGATAAATCATTTGAATTGGTTGGCGTTGGTGAAGGCGGGTATTGTTTTAAACGATTGTGACATTAAATGGGAAAAAGTTATAATTCAAAATCGCACATTTTTCACTTCAGTTGGGCTAGATTTCACCCCCCACGTGTTAAATAATGCTATAAGCGCGCATCCAGAGTTAAAGTTGACAACGGAAGGTCTCAAGAATATACAACGCGAAGTGTTTGTGCGCCAAATTGCTGTGGCTCTTCAACTCGATCTTCCTCTTAATGTTCATTCTCGTTCGGCTGGTCATTATGTTTTAGATTGCTTACGTAATTGTGGAGCAAGAAAGGTCGTGATGCATGCCTTTAATGGACAATTAAAGTATGCCATTAAAGGTGTGGAGATGGGGTAATTATTAAAAATTTCTGTAAACTAAGGTTATCATGATGATTTACTATATATGTTGTTCTTGCTCTGTACTTCTACCGTCATAAAGGTTCTACTTTTCTATACCTCCCGAGATTGTTCGTATGCCACAAAAACAGAAATTAGTAGCTGGGTTACCGTTGTCAAACTTACTGCTTGAATCTGATTCACCCGTTTTGGGTCCGGAAAAAGGTGTAGACAATGAACCAAATAGTATTCAAGTTAGTGCTGAGGAAATAGCTAGGATCAAACAAATTGGAGTTGACGAAGTGGTAAATAAATATATATATATAATTGGTGTATTTTGCCTGCGTATTCTTATGCATTTATACTTACAAACTTCACCAATTGCTAGATTCGGCAGACCACGGAAAACGCGTATAAATTATTCCCGAGAATTAGAAAACATTCTTGGACAAGCGAATAAATTTTTGATTTAAAGTATTGATGAACAATTTAATATACGGTAGTATAGAGAATCTTTTCATTAAAAGTTTAATAGGTAATTATTGAAGGAAATATTAATTCCCCAATGAGAACAATTCATTCTGTCCGAAAAAATTAAAATTAAAGCTATATTGAACCTAAATTTTTATTCTTAATGTTTAGAATATGGAATTATAAAAATAACAATATTTACTTAAATATACAGTATGTGTATTAATTAAAATGTTTATATAATAATTAAAAAAAATGTAATAAAAAAAAATAAATAAAAAATAAATTTTT